CTCCCACTTGCAACTACTATTAAGAGACTCTGATACATATATATTCATACCAGACCAGGTACAAAATTTACCATAGGGGTCATACTTCTCGGGTGAACATAGCTTGAATGGTTTTCTCTGTTTTTGTTTTGTTTTACACAAAGCAGCAGTAAGATGCTTCAATGTGGACTGGAAGTTCATGAAGTAGAAAGGGATTCCTAACTCTTACCCTGCAAGTTAATTTTTTCGTATCTTACTCATTCTCCCCAGCTTTGTTTTGAGAAGGTAGCTATACCTTTTCCTTCACAGCTAAAAAGCCCATTGGGAAGCAATTCTGATAACAAAAATACCCATAATGAAACCCTCACTTTGCGTTTTTATACTTGGCATTGCAATTTCCAGGTTTAAAGGAATACCCTTGTTTACTTGAGCTTATGTGTAACAGGAGCTGCATAACCAAGATACAGGTTTTTTAAAACTTGGAAGAAAATGTAAAATTTAAAAATTCTGAAATGATAATTTTCACTGAATAGTCATTTGATTTGACTGGTGTAAGAACCTGATAGAGTAAGTAAAATAAGGAAAAGGAGGGCAAATGACATGAACTGAGACAAAGAATATGTGTCTAGCTGGAAAAAAATGTGTCTAGATGAAAAAAACAAAGAGATGGGAAAATGTGTCTCGCTGAAAAAACAAAGGGACAGATTGAAAATTAACCGCACTTCGAACCTTTCCCCCATCTTTCCATTCTTCTGCTGTTTATGTGAGAAGAGAACTTTGTGTAACTTTGTTTCAGAAAGTGGTCCAAGTCCTTTCATATTTTAATGGCTGATTGTGTCCAACATTAGGCCTACTAACCCAATTTTTCTTCCAAAAATGTATCCACAAGTATTTTGATGGTCTGTGTTTTGCTAAGGACTTTCCTCTGCAATCAAAATAGTAACTCTCCAGTCTCAAAAATGGTAAGATTAAGTATGTAGCAGACTGGACATTATAAGCAGCTATGCCCCTCTTGTATTTATTCTCATTAGCAACACCACATAATGGTAAGCAGAGGAATCATTGTGATGTTTTAAAATCCTTTGTATGTTGGAAGGAAGAGATCAAAGGCTACCAGTGCTGCATATTTTCACTCAATTAAATTTAAAAGAAAAAGGAGGCTATCAGTCAAAACTGACCATTTATTGGCAAAGAACTGGACATTCTAAGAGGATGTCTTGGTGGGAACACTGTCACTTTCCTGCTAAAATAGAAATATGAGAAATCCCCCAAACTGCGTGCAAGGTAAAATGAGAGAACCTGCATGAATCCTGCCATGGCTTCTTCATGTGCTTATGGTTACCACATACATTAGCAATCTGATTGCCCATCTTCAACAGGCACGGAACCCAGCATATGCTAACGTTGGTGCAGCAGGACCTCTGAGAGGAGTCAGAATTCTGAGAACTCTAACTACTTTAGGGGCCTGTGCAAGTCAAATCACACTACTTGGCTTCATATGAAGTTTGGATTGAGTCAGTGTGATATCAGCAGAGGCTCAATGGACATGATCTGGGGATCCATTGTGGCTCTTGAAAGTGCTGATATATGCTCCTAAAAATCTACTGTCCATGCAGTACATTTGTCCATGCAGACAAAACCAGTTCACAATACATTAAGATCTGTGAAAAGTGTACTATGCAAGTAGGAATGGGGTGGACATCTAGCTCCATTGGATACCAAGCTTCAAAATTTCTGGAGAAGTTCTCTTGAGAATGGTAAATTCTATGATTGAAAACACTGTTCCTTTGCTGCCTCAGAAGACTATTGGAATGCATGTTCAGAAGTTTAATTTTATGAATAACTTAGTGTATTGGAGCTATTAGTTCTGCAGTGATCTGCAAAAGCTATTCCAGTTTCTGATATCCACTCCAAAGCAAAATGATTTCAGCTCATTTTTCACTGTGGAGTGGAACTGAAGGGTTACAACTGTCCCTACATGCAAGCTATCCTTCCATCCATTAGTAATTTGACCCGGTGTTATATATTGGGACTGAATCATTCCAGGTCTGTCACACCAGAGACTGGCTGAGCTTGGAGCACAAGAACAATAGCTTACCAGGACTCTGAAAGTAACCAATCAAGTAGTAATGTTATGTAAATAGCCTATCATTGGGAGTGGGGTGTGTTTGGGTGTGGCAATTGCATGCTATAAAACAGAGCTGAGGCTCTGGAGTCTTGTCTTGCTGAATTCGCAAATAAAGTTGAGCTGATCACTAGACCTGAGCCCGCTCATCCATGGAACCCACTATTTAACAGTGGCAATGAGGGTGGGATCCTGTTGAGCGAGCCTAGAGCCCATCTGCACTGCACTGCACTGCACGCCAAGCTGCAGTAACACATGCACCACATTGCAACCAGGACCATGGCTGCCACTCCAGGACATCTTCCGGAATTTGACCCCACTCACCCAGAGCTTTGGGAAACCTGGGTAGAGCAGCTCAAGTACTTCGTACTGTTCCAGGACATTGAGGGCAAAGAGAAGAAGAAGGTTCTCCTGCTAAGTTCCTGTGAAATTGCAACCCTGAGGCTAGTCCAGGGCCTCATCGTGCCCACCACACTCAAAGCGGCCACTTACGACACCCTTATCACGGCACTCACTGGCCATTTTGTACCTCAGACCATGAAGATGGCGCACTATGTGGACTTCTACATGCGCCAGCAAAAGTCCAACAAGACAGCTGCCATCTTCGTGGTGGCCCTTTGCCGACTGGCTCTCACATGCGAGTTCCTGAGTCTCAACGACACCCTCCTTGACTGATTCATGATGGGCATCAGAGAGGAGAAACTACACAGGAAGCTCATTGGTCATGAGGAACTCACACTAGTAAAGACAATACATGAGGCCATCGCTTTTGAGAAATCCCAGCAAGATTGACAGACCTCTGCCACATACTAGGCCTCCGTCCCCTCAGCTTCTGAGGCATCAGATGAAGAAGAGACCATCAGGTTAACTGCCCAGTTCACTGTGACTCGTGACCTTTGATCACCGCCGCTCATCCAGTGGAGACTGTTGCACTGACACCATGCCCCAGCTGTGGAGAGGCCCACGAATGTCGCTCCTGCCATTTCCGAGATGCCACCTGCAGGCTCTGAAGCAAGACAGGCCACAACGTCTGCACCTGCCACTCCAAGGGAGCCCGGAGATGCACTGCCACACCCCAGGAATCAGCATATCTGCACACCACTGCTGTCCACCAACATCAGGTATTGAATTTGCCCCGGGACACCCCTGATAAGATTAAAGTGACGGTGCTCATAGAGGGGGTACCTTGCAAGATGGAACTGGACATGGGGTCCTCCATCTCCATCATCTCAGAAGAGACTCTCCGGAGGCTCTGTCCACAAGGGGGTCCCCGCCTTAGACCCACTGGTTTCACTCTCTGGGACTTTCAAAAGAACAAGGTGGCTATTAAGGGGTGGGGCAAATTCCACATGAAATACAAGCAGTTTGAGGGAATTTTGGACTTGTTGGTGGTGGAAGGGTGGCTCGCCAGCTTACTTGGACTGTCCTGGTTTGCGCCCTTGGGGTTCAAAGTGATGGGGATGCACCACATGCAGCCCTCGGACTTCAGTAATGTGTGTGACGAATTCCCTGCCCTGAGGTGCAGCCCATCTGCCTCAAGGCCTGGAGAGTTCCATTTGCACTCAAACCCAAAATTGAGGCAGAGCTGGACCATTTGGTGACACAGGGAGTTTTAGAGCCGGTTCCCCACACCACCTGGGAATCCCCCTTCGTAACTCCAATTAAGCCAAATGGGAATGTCTGCATCTGTGCGGACTACAAATGTACAATCAACAAGGCACTGAGGGACCATACGTACCCAGTGCCTGTAGTCAGCCATGTCCTAGCAACATTGGCGGGGTCAAGGTCTTCGGTAAATTGGAGTTGGCCCAAGCATACCAACAACTCCCAGTGGATGAGCCAATGGCTGAGGCACAGACCATCATCACACACTGGGGTGCTTTCAGAGTCAAGCGCTTGCAGTTTGGGGTGAGTGTGTCCCCAGGGATCTTCCAGAACTTAATGGACTCTCTTTTGAAAGGCATCCCTGGGGTCCAGCCATTCTTTGATAATGTACTGATAGCCACTCCCATGGAAGAGGACTTTGCCACCTGCCTACACACCGTGCTGCAGTGATTAGATTCCGCTGGGCTGAAGGTGAAGTGAGAGAAATGCCTCCTGGGGGTCCCCCATGTAGAGTTCCTGGGGTTCTCTGTGGACGCTGACGGCATCCATCCAGTCCCTGACAAGGTTCACGCCATCATGAATGCACCCGCTCCCACATTCAAGGCTGAGGTGCAGGCTTTCTTGGGGCTTCTAAAGTTTTACCACTCCTCTCTGTCCCATAAAGCTGCATTCACGGAGCCACTCCACTGCCTGCTCGACAAGAAGACCCCATGGGAGTGGGGCCGGCAACAGGCCACCGCTTTCCAGGCCATGAAAGAAACAATGAAAATGTTTTCTTTAAGCAGTGATGCAAAGGCTGATTTGCTCATATAATGTTCATCAGGCAAAGTTATATGGTTGTATTGCTAAAAAAGGAACATTTCTTAAGCTAGTTTAATAGGAATAGAAATTCTTAAATTGCCTGCATTCAATTAGTTTTTCCCTTGAATATTTGGATACAAGTTTATCTATATATCTAATTCCCACATCTGCAGATACCTAAATCTGCAGATGCGGTTAGAAGGCCGCAGTGCCTGTAGAGGAGCCACTGAGTGACTATGCCCGTGCGGTTCAGGGAAAGTTGAAACAATTGAACATATTTTACTCCACTGTACATTTTATGAAACCATCAGAGTAAAAATTATTCATCCTGTTATAAGGAGATACCACGGATACTTGGACAAGGAGATAAGTAGGAAGCTATTATTTGATCTTGCTCCACAGATCATAATAAATTGTGCTAAATTTCTAGCAATAGCCCAAAAAATACATGCTTCACATGTAGTACAATTTTAGAAAGAATCCAGAAGATTTAGGAGATGGGGAGTAAAACTGTATAACCCAGCGTGAGCCACTCTGTCGCACACAGAAACATAACACAGAAGAATGCGTGGATGAGATACTCGGGAAGTACAAGAGGGTTGAGCGTATTACACTGGTCTATGGGATTCTTGTAGTCAGTCTTCAGTTCATCAAAAGCTATAATATGCCAGATGGCGAAGAAGATGAGGGCGGCGGTGAGGAGGAGGGCCAGCATGTAGCAGAAGGTGGCAAACGTGAACGCCATGGCGGAGGAGGAGGAGGGGGAGGAGGCCCGGACCGAGCAACAGTGCGTGGGGGATGCCGGGCCGGATCATCCAGCACGGCCAGGCCTGCGGGGACGGGTGGGCGGGCACTGCGCAGGCGCGCGGGGAGGGCCCGGAAAATTGTATAACCCCTATAATACTTACTCAAAAGTTGAATAACAGTTGATGATAGAGTATTGTAGAAATTTAGAGTTTTAGTAATTTTGAAAATTAACATGCGCAGATTAAACGCGGTTTTATATTTAAATATTTTATATATATTATTGTTACCCTTTTTTGTATTGTCTGTAATTGGGCTGGTGATATACCGAATAAACAGATTGTCTGTCTGTCTGTCTGTCTATCTATATGCAGATGTGGGCATACTTATCCCAAACAGGTTTTTCTGCAAACTTGGGTGACCCCTAGGTTTGCAGAAAAATCTGAAAAGTTACAAAAATAAATTGGGGGTTTAATTACCACCCAAAATAAAATTGTTATCTGTGCAAGTTCAGACTATGCACCCATTTCCTCTTCCTGCGGCTGCAGGAGCACTTCAGTGGGGGCCAGGAGCCATGTGGGGCTTGCCAGCATGTGAGGGGAGGTTTGGCGGGGCTGGCAGCAGACATTGGGACTGAAGTAGTAACAAAAAAACTATGTTACATCTTTAAAGCCACATTTCAGGCTCTCAGTATGTTTTGGTTTGAAAAGACCAGCAGCTTCAGGACTATTTTATTTACCAGAGTTCATACCACAAGCACAAAACCTCCCTGCAAGCCAGTTCAAATACAAATAGTAATGATAGTTTGTTTACAACTATGGTATGTTTTATATCTGAAAACACAGCAGTGGTAATACATACAAAATGGGGAGCTGCATGTGTACAGTTCAATAAGCTGTCAGAATTTGGTTTTTCTCTTTCCTTTTCTCTTCCCCTTTTTTGGCAGACACACTATTATGTTGTAGAAAATGGCACAGACATCCTAAATTAACAACATTCACAGAACAGTACGTTCTGTGCATGCCTCTGGAACTAACGTAGGTAAGCAAATATTCAAGCCAAAGACCTAGGGGTCCTAGGAAGCACACTTTCAAATTTTCCTAAAACACTTCTGAAAGACAGCATATAACCACAGTATAATATTCAGTAGCCAAATATGTTGAGAGAATTATAGGAATCTTTGTAAGTTACCGAAAACATGGTATGGTCACATTGGTATAGCTGCCATCTATCTGTTAGGAATTTCCTCTCTCTCTGGATGTATGAGAGTACACACAGTGTACAGCCACATCACTGTGGAAAATCAGTTTCTCTGCTACTGCATGCACATATTTTGAAAACCTCCAAGCAGAGAAGCTTTGAAAAGTACATAAATGCATGATGACATATATGAGTACACAAGATAAATATAGCATGCAAAGCAGGGATCTTTTAAAATCATCTTTGAATTGTGTGGGAAGCATTGAAATACATTGGGTATGTTTTACAATGTTCCTCTTTTGAGATGACAGAACTATGACTGTTGGAAATTGGGGGAAGTGGTGATTAAAATAGTCATGAAAGAAGATTCAGCAACACTGACTCCATGGAAATTGCTTCCCCACCAAGTCCAGGAACCCTGGAGAGTAAGAGAGTCATTCTCTTGAGCCTTATTCTGGATATTCCTCTCTGAGTGCAACTGAGGAAATATGAGAACATTATAATTCAGAGAGCAACGAATTTAAAGAATTGAAATGTCCTTTGGATGAATTTGTTTAAATCCATATGCAGTTTAACCTAGCTTGGAGAGTTAGGTTTAATATTTTAATACATATTTTAGTTTAAATAAAATATTCCCCTATCTTTAGCTTTTACGGTAGCTCAGGTCATTTTTTTTGCACCCACTAAAACCCCTGTCCAGAGCTACTATCCTTGCTATGATATGTCAGGGCTAGAACAAAACAGGGAAAGAACAAAACAAGTTTCTTGTAAACAGGTGGTCATTTGCTTTGTGTTCTGATCAATATTATGGGTGACAGGAATAATGTTCCTGACACAGCCTCTAATTTGTTGGAGAAAAGCAAGACACATTATAGGAGAACATTTGGAATTTTGCTTACCAAGACAAGTGTTCCTTCTCAAGCAGATGTTGTGAAAGTGTTTTTTCAACTTGCCAGAATAAAGGCTGCTTGGTCTTTCCTACCTACAGGTTTAGAGCTGTTGTACTCACAGCGGAATAAATGTTTTATAAAAGCAAAACAGAGAGATCAGAACAATACGGATAAATAGATTTATGTACTTACATTCATCCACATCATGTATGTATCTTACTTAGCATGCCAAATATCCATACACTAAACAAGAAGAATTACATAATTCTCTTAAGGGCAAAGTGAAGTGGGTGTGTTGGGCTCTCTCTTGATCTACAGAATGAAGTCATGTGCAGTGAAGCATTTGGATCAAAAATGAAAACAACATATACAATGAGATCAAAGAGAAAATATGACACCTAATGATAAAGATTTTTGTTGTTGTAGCTGGTCGGAGGATCGATCTGCAGGCTGTATCAGTCATGTCCGGATGGCATGTATTCTGTCGGCTGGCTGATGGCATCAGGGCTCTCGATGTCACACTGCCACACTGCCATCGCCTGGCCGATTCATTCCACTGCAGGGAATGCAGAAACAGATTTTTCCCATTTTTTATCTCAGCCGCGCCACAGATGTCACACTGGCAGCTAACACCTCCCAAGGGGAGTGGTGTGCCCACCCCCTTATGGGTGGTCCCCAATTTATCTACTTGCTGAAGCTTTCGAATCACTGGGTAGACGATGAGCTAGGGACAAGGCTTGGCTGCTCACACCAGCATGGGCTAGAACTGACAACGCTTGGCAGTTCAGGTGTTATAGTTATGCAGGGGATTTACCCACTGCGCCACCGCTCCCCTCCTGTCTTCCGCCATCCTCTGGTGGTTGCTCTGGTGGTTGCTCCTCTGGTGGTTGCTCAATATCCCAGTCAGAAGATGGGAGGGGTGTTGCAGAGAAAGGAGACAGGATGCAAAGGTACAATGCAAAATGTAATTAGCTTAATTAGGGCAAGGGAGAAATGCTTAGGGGCAGAAAATTAGCATCTGTACTGAGATAAGATTCTATTTCCCTGTTCAGCTATGGGGGGAGGGGTTTCCATTTTTCTGAATTTGTGGATTAACTCAAACTCAGCAATCTCATTTTGTAACCTCCCCTCAAAGCATTTCTGTTTGAGGACAACCACTCTTAGGTCAGCAATGGGATGTCCCATGGTTTTTTACTGTTGTGATTTTTGATTTCAGGTTTATGCCCACTGACATCTGATGGCCTATATAACATTGGAATAAGAACAAGTGAATTAACCTAAGATGGTATGGCTGATGTTAAGTCTGGTGATTCTGTTGTCAGAATGAATATAGAGACACAGCTGACATCTTTGTTTATTGCAGGCCCTGGTCCCAGAGTCGGTGTCTGTGTTAGGAAGTACATTATTGTGGGTGAGAAGTTGTTTAAGGTTAGGAGGTTTTCTGTGGACAAGAAAAGGTTTGTCTCTCAATGCCTGTGAGAGAGGAGTATCCTTGTCAAGCAAAGGTTGCAGTTCATTAATTTTGCATTGAAACACTTTGAGCTGCGTGCTATATGTGACCACCAATGGTGTTCTGTTCTTGTTTCACTTGGGCCTATCTTGTAGCAGGCTATCCCTTGGTATAATTCTGGCTTTGTTGATCTTTTCCCTTTCTACATCAGGTGGTTATTGTAATTACAAAAAAATAATAATGTCTGTAGATCCTGCAGGTGGGAATCTTTGTCAGAGGGGTTGGAACAGATTTGGCTGTAGCTCATATCTTGGCTGTAGACAATAGATTGTTTGCTGTGTTTAGGATGGTGACTGGTGGTGTATAGATTTGGTAATCAGTATGTTTGGTAATCAGTATGTTTCTGGTATAAGGTGGTTTTGGTGCTTCCATTATGTATTTGTACTGGGGTGTCTAGAAAATGTGCTTTTGGGGTGGATTGATTCATGGTCAGGTTGATGGTGGGCTGGAAGTTGGTGAATGCCTGGTGAAATTTCTCCAGTGCTTCTTTCCCATGTGACTATCTACATGAAAAATAATAATCAGATCTTGGAAGCCAAACAGGGCCTACCCTGGCAGGTATTTGGATGGGAGACCTCCAAAGAATACCAAGGTTGGGAGGCAGAAGCAGGCTATCAAGCCACTTCTCTGAACATCCTCCATGCCCCTAGTAGGAGTCACCAGAGGGTGCCATGACTTCCAGGCACACACACACATGTGCACACACACAAAATGCAAAAATACCCAAAAAATTAACTCTCAAATACAAGAAGAATGCTAATGGATAGGAGCTGAGGAAGCGCTGCTCCAGGTCAGCCCTGAATATGTAGGCATATTGTAGGTCCATGTGGGTGCCTGTGGCTGTGACATTGATCTGAAGGAATAAATCATCACAAAACTTGAAGTAGTTGCAGGTAAGCACAAACTAGAACAACTTGGTAGCAAGGTCAGCTGTGGTGTTGTCAGAAATGGTATTCCTGATGGTTTATATACCATCTTTGTGGGGGATGTTGGTATACAGAGACTCAGCATCCTTGGTAGCTGAAATAGTGCTTCCTGGAAGATTGTCAGTAGATTTTTACTTAGAGAGTCTGTGGTAGCATGCACATACCTTGGCGGTATTGATGGCATAGGGTCTGAAAATGGATTCCATGTATCTAGACTGGGGGATTGATGGTATAGGGTCTGAGCAGGGAGTTCCTGCATCCAGACACACTTAAAGTTATGGTGCCCATTCCTGAGACATTAAAATATCCTGGGTTGCTAGGTGTTTGGGGTTGGCACTCCTGCACTTACCACTGGAGTTGGGACCATGCCTGACCCAATCAGCTCAAGTGTAGCCCTGGGGGAGCTGGCAGCCAGATCCACTAACCAGGGAGTGCCTGGAGACTGCCACAGCAGTGAGATGGCCAGAGAATGCTGCAATGGAGCCAGATGGTAAG